ATTAAACAGTACCTTTTCTCTAACAAAGATTTCATAGATGCTGACAGGGTAATTCCACTTTTGCTGTTTTTCTCATGATTTAGGCTTGAATGATGCATTTGAATTCATTTGACAAAGGCTGTTCTGAAAGACACATTTTCTCCTGCGGAGATGAAGGCAAATAAATGTAATGAGAGAATATAAACATAATGCTTAGAGAATAACGAATGTTAGAGAGGGAGGAGCTTGCAAATTGTTATTTAGTCTCAAAGCCTGCGTGTACATTCTCCTCTCATGTTTAGCAGAGACATAGATGCCACTGATTCCAATACTGTTCTTTTAAAATGTAGATGGGAAGTTTCTCCTCCTTTTGTTGAGCATCCGATCATGTTTTCGAACTGTTTCCCTTGTAGGATGTCTGATTTCTCTTCTGATTCCTCTACCCTGTCTTTTCCAGTGCTTCTTTCCATGAGATGTAACAGTTCAAATGCATGTAGGAAAATGTCACCTATACCTTTGACTGAATTATATTTCTGTATTGTTTATGAACTTGCTATGCATTTGCAATCATTATTAATAAATCAACGTGCTTTTGTCTTCTGTCACAAAGTAATGTATATATTCAAAAAGAATTGTATGCAAAACAAGTCATGTTTTAGAACTCATATCATTAATAATTATCAGTTTTCAGTATTGTTACAACGTGTTTTCAGGGAAGCTTATTATAAAAGAAATAACAAGGCACTGCACAGTAGCAAGAATAAGACAGTTCAGTTGATCACTGGTATAGGTGTTATAAATATGCCAGTCTGTACTATAGTGTTTTATTAAGTCTCAAAAAGTCAAAGCTGATTTGAAATAATAATGTCTGACAGTCAGTGCTTTGAAGTTTTGCTGCTGCACTCTCACATTTAGGCTTTCTTTTATGTATGACTTTACCATAAAAAACAAAAACACACACATGGCATGAGCACTTTTTTTCTTATCTGTATTTCAAAGAAAGTAATAAGAGGCTACTTCAGTGAATTAAAAGTGAAAAAAAAAAAAAAAAGGAATGTTCTCCCACCCCCCAAATCAATGAGGATAGGTGCAGATCATTGTAAGATCATACAGTATTCATGTAAGCTACAGAGGGAGTTGCTAACTTGTTGAAATAAAAAAAAAAATAATAATAATAAAAAAAATAATAAAAAAGGAAGAGTGAGGAAGAGACGAGAGGGAAAAGCTATCCTTGATAGGAACAAGATGACTTTCATTTACTTGGAAGAACTTGAGAGCTTGGCTGTGATAGCTAACACACTCGTTCTTCATCACTGGTTGTGCTACAAAGAGCTGGATTCCATCCATTCCATGACTGATTGATTACCCAATGGACAAATGTTAATTCTTTTCATCGATGCTTTGTCATTGCAGAGAGATCCTTTTCATCTAACACCTAGGCTTTTTTTTCCCTTGACTTTTTCTTTTTTTCTGCTTATTTATCTTTTAAAATCCTCATCCACCTCTGCAAAGCTCCCATGTAGTAAGATCCTCACAGCGCTTTAAAATCCCTTACTGTACAATTTAAATTGCTAACTTAGTATGTATTAAAGTGTGCTACAAAATAACACACAGTTATTTCATTGAGTCATCTCAGTGTAATTGTTGTTAACCTGTTTGCTGCCCTCAAAAGAAACAGTGGAAGAATATAAAGGCAAGAGTCTCTGTGTTGCTAATACAATGAATTCCTTCAGTGCAACTTACATGAGTTTGATCCTACATGTGTCAGTACAAAATATGCGGCTTTGCAGCATAAACCCAACTCTAGTTTATAAAGTCAGTGAGAAGAGCTAAAAATGTATAAATGCTAATTTCTTTCTTTGCTTCCTTTATAATTGTCTTTAACAAGAACACCCCTGAATTTCACAAATGCTGGAATCCACGAGATTTTGTAATGGTTCTGAAGCAGAGCCTCAGTGCAGGGAGAGTGATGCAGTGCAGATGTGATTTCGGGCTTCATCGATGTTCAGTGCTGGATTCTGGGTCGTTGTTTAGTTTCCTTAACGAAACAAATCAGAAAATGAATCGATATGGATGAAGACAATTCACTGATGTCAGAAGACATCTTTGCAGATTTTATATCTGTGTAAAAATTAATTTTCAGCACACAAAGAAGAGAAAAAAACCTTTCTTATTCTCAAGCCTTTTCAAAATGTGCGTTTGTGAACACTGAATACCAAACTTGAAGGGAGATGTGCCTTTCAAGTATAAGCCTTTATATTTAGGTTTGTCTAATGCAAAGGACCTCCAGAGAGCTTGAACATATACCACAATTTTAAATTCTAAAAATTATGCAGGTTAACTCTGCTAATTGAAAATGTACAGGAATTTCAAAAGAGCTATTTTTACAATGTTGTTAAAAGGCTCATTGCGTGGTCTTGCAATATTCCCAATAATGAAATACAGTGCTATACATTGTGTGGTCAGAGGTGTAAGGTAGAATTTGAACAGCATAGAGGTGTTGAAAACAATTCTTACATATTTTTTCAGTCATATGTAGAAATAAGAATTGTAAGTAGCAACATGATTATATCTTTTCCATTCTGTCTGTCTTCAGAAATATTCTCTTTGCCCTTATACAGTATAGTAACTATGGATGAACAAGCATATTCTTAGACAAAGTAAGACAGGGTATAAAGTAAGTGTTTCAAAGGAAGTATTTTACCAACTCTTGTGATGTTCTAGAATCGTTTCTCTGAAATGTAAATGATTTTCCATATTTGTATGAATTGAGGAAAATATCTAAGTTAAAATGCAATAGTATATGTAACCTATAGCAGACATCACAATAAAACTCCAAAGCTCCTTTTATATATATAATTTTTTTTTTCCCCAGGGATGAGGGGTCTGAGATTTTGGCAGAGGAGAAACAAAACCATCTTTTTAAACTAATGGTGGTATAAAAAAAAAAAAAAAAAGACAAATTATAATGTTCTATTGATAATTGATAGTTATTTCTTGATTCTTCTATCATCAGGCAAGAACTCATAAAAGTAATAAGTGTCTGTTATTGTTAAAAGTAAATTATTATTATGTAACAAGTATTTTAACATTGCCTATTGCAACTTAGAGCTCCTTAATTTTGTCTCTTTCATAGAAAGATATAATTAGTAAATAAATTAGCTTTTCTACTGAAATGTAACTTCAAAAACATTTACGAGCTGTGTTGTCTTTACACAGAAGCTTGCATAGTGCGAATGTATTTCAATTAAAACCTGATCTTTGATCTTCTGGTGGTTACAGTTTGGTTTACTTTCAACTGGTTTTGCTTTTTTGTTGTATTGGTTTTTGTTTTTGTTTTTTTTTTTCCAAATGGGTGATGCTAATGTGATTTATTTTCAGCTGAAGCTATTTGAATCCTAAAGCGTAAGCGGCCATATGACCTTTTACTTCCTTGAATATCTCCCCAAACCTTTATGACTTCTCTGAATGCTTCTCCTCTCTGATTTTTTTTGGACTCCTCTGAGTTGGAACACACTGTTATGCGATATATTGATGCTATTTCTGTTGCCGTTCTTCATTTGGGTTTTTTGTTTTTGGTGTTACTTTTCTAGTGATTCTAGTGGGACTGTTGACATGGAAATTTGAGCCAAAATTTGGCCTTAATCTGTCAGTAACTTAACAGAAGATATTAGAGGCTAAATTCTACCTTCTTGTTCACTGGAGTGTCAGTTCTCAAGTGGCTGGCGTGCGACCAGTGCAAATGCTGTCAAAATTCGAGAAGTTTGAAAATCATTTTGTAAATTGATTTCCTCTTAATGCAAATGGCAGCTTGCTTTGGGAGTTTCTAACAAACTAAAGAGTGAGGGTGGTCTCGGTGTATTCAAGTAAGAACCACTGTGCTCGGCGCCCCCAGGGTGGTATGTGGTCTTACAAGAAGGGCTCTTTGCAAAGATTCATTTCAGCAACAATGTTTAAATAATGTTCTTCATATCTTGATAAACTGAGCCTAAGTGGTTCCAAGAATTTTAGCATAGGCTTTGTTCATGAACCTGTCTACGAATGAAAGAAATGCATGACGGTTAAAGGACACTTTATTATTACTACCTGGGGAGGGAAGATAGGTGTTTAGTTGTGTGGAAAGTTTTCTCAGTGACCATTAATAAAGCTGAATTGAGGTTCTTAAAATCATAAAACTGAATCATGACATTAACCACTAGAATACCCATCTTAAAAATCAACTGGATTGTTATGTATTTTGACTTCAGAGTCAGTTCAGTGTAAGAATTCAAAAAGCCTTCAGATTTTAGCGAAGAGTCTGCAGTGCTCAATATCAAATTTTGTAGTGGAATTGAAGTCTGATCATATGAAATTTGCTACACAGTCTTCTACCTTCTCCTAAGTGTAATGACTTCAGTGACAGTTTTGTGTAGGGAAGGACTATCAATCTGGGACAAAATTTTGAAATATATTCTGAACTTCGAATTATGAAAGCAGATCTTCTAATCATTGCATGTTGTTTATAGTGTACCGAGAAAATTTCTGATGCTGTGAACACTGAATATGTAGAATGCTTTTGTGAATTCCATGGAGATGTTATATGAATAACTTTCGCATTGACATGGGTATAAAAATGGGTTTCAGATGTCACTGTGTGCCAAATTTCCAGAAAACCCTTCTAAATCTTCATGTATAATTTGGAGTGTACAATCATTTTCAAATGAAAAAGACAGAATTTGTATATACATTGGCAATCTATGCATGTAAATTGGCAGTTAGCATGCATAAATCCTGAACTAAGTTTTTCTTTCAATTAGACTCTCGTTAAATCCATAGTAACTCCATTAACCTCAGAGGAATTAGTTCGGATTTAAAATGCTGTTAAATGGGAACTCGGGTTGCAAGCTGATTTCCTTTTGAAACTATGGTCCAACAAGAATAAGGGGAAAAGCTTTAAAATGAAGATGGCACCATTTTTCCTGATGCATAAGAATATATTTGATGTTTCTTCCTTTTTTTTTTTTTTTTTTTTTTTTTAATAGATTCATCCTGCATGGAAAAACTACTCTCTAAAGACTGGAAAGAGAAGATGGAAAAATTAAACACAAGTGATCTCCTTGGAGAAATTAAAGGTATCTCACTAGATCCAATTTGAAGCGTTTACACATATTTTTTTAAAAGTGAATTAGCTCCTTTCAGAACAGTAGAAATAACAATCAATTGCAAACACTGGGTTAGTTACAGTATTTCATTGACACTTGGTAGGTACTTGTGTAACCAGAGGAATAAACATTTTCAAAATGTGGAGCTACTTGCACTTGGTGCTGTTTCTTCACAGTTGAATAAATTACTTTCAGGATATAAAAGGGAGTCATTGTATAATTACTGTTCTGAATATTCCATTCAAAATTAAAAATAAAAATAATAATAGTAATCTTTTTTTATATTCATGCTATTTCTGGGGCGGGAGAAGCCCTGGATGAAGTTCTGGACCCACTGAAGTCAGTGGGTGTTTTATTGCTTATAAAGATAAAATGTTCCAGTATTTTCAAGATTTGTTGTATCAGCAGTCTAGTAGAAGTGAAACTTTGACTATTAAAGAGTGTGCAGAAAACTTAAAAGTGTTTTTTCCATACCCATCAATTCTCTCATGGATTTTCATTTTTCTTTTTCAAAAGAAATTCAGTGTTATTGACTTAGAAGCAAATTTTAAAGGTGATGCTTGTTTGTTTTTTTCTTTGTACTGTGAGGAGGGCTCAAAAGGCATTTCTGAAGAGTATATAAGGTACCTAAAATTCATTTCTTTTGACTGAAATAATTTTATTACATATCAATTACAAATATGTGGAAATAAAGAATAATAACCGTTATATTAATAAATCTTTACTAATAGGGAGAAAAAAAAAGATATTCTTGTATGACAGTAGAAGCTTAGGGTTTTAATTTTTCTCTAGGGAGGCTTAAGATAGTTCAGTTTTTTTTATTATGCAAATAGATGAAAGGCTTGCCCTTTTCGTTAAATAAATTTTAATTGGTTCCTGCAATCCTGCAACTGACTCAAGACCAAAATCTGTTTAGTTTGCCTGTTGGATATTACTTGTAGAATTACGACAATGAAAATGAGAGAGGTAAGAAATCCTATAGGAATATAAGTGACAGAAATATAGCATACAGTTTTACAGAAATGTGTTAAAATTCACAGTGACAGAAAAAGGCAACAAAATTATGTCTTGACATGACTATTTATTTAAAGCTATATTGTCTCTTCATAATGTGGAAAACCTTGAACGCTGGTTGGCCCATTAATTGCACAATATAGCTACTTAGTCTCTAAAAAGAAACTGCTTGAATGGTATTAGTGAATCAAAATTAAAAGATGTGGGATCTCTAACAATGCTGGATAATGTTATTTATTCTTTTAGATGGCACAAAAACCTTTTTCATGAGCTTTCATTTGTTAAAAATAACTAAAAGAGGGAGAGCAGTTCTTTTATCTGTGTTATTCCTCCCATTTTCTTAAGTCTGCAAATTCACTGCAGAGGGAACTGGCAGAGTTCTTGTTCCAAACTGTTTTCTTATTTACCTACAAAGCTTTCTTACTCACACTTGGAAGGATTTTCAACTCATTCAGCTACTTCGTCTAGGAATATATCGTGTTATCTGTATTAAAAAGAATTACCTAACTCACCATAATTGTGTGTAAACAGTCATTTGGTTAGTTTCACAACTAACGTCCTGCCTCTAATCCCTAGAAACTTTCCCTTAAATTAGCCTTAAGTGATCTTAATGTCTGCAGTATTCCTTTCCATTACTAGATTACTTCCAGTAAGACTCAATACTGAATCTTTGCTAATGTAACTGCAGTCTTCCTGAACTGCCAAACGTACAGAAAAAAGCAGACACAAATGTGAGGATGAATAATGATTGCTCTTTCATAATGCTTTCTGCTTACAGTATTCAAACTTCCATGCAGATTTAGGTGAAAAAAAAAGGCATGGAGTTAGATAGCAGAACAGTGGTGAGTCTGAAGGTGGACTTGTCTTGGCTCACGAGCCAGTTGCCTAGCCACTGTTTCCAGGCTGGTTAGCTCCTAGCTGCTAACACTACTTTCAGCAACCAAACTGCCTCGTATTAACTCCTAGTAGCATTTGTCTGCCTTAAATAATCTCAATAAGAAAATAAATTAAACCGTCTATCCAGTGGCAGCATGAAATCCAGATACAAAAAGGAATTAAAGGAAAGCAGAGGAACCAGAGAGATGTTTTAATCTACCAAAAGAAATGTACATTTTAAAAAATAAAACTTTACAGTGTTCGAGGTAGTAGACTTCCAAAGTCATAAAGTTAACTTTTGTAGTTCTGAATGAATATTCAGTTAGATAATTGGCATGCTAAAGTCTAAAAGAATTGTTTCTTAAAGTGCATCTTCTCTGGGATATCAAATATCTTGGTTCTTAATTTTCATTAGATTCTAAATCAATGGATTTAATTGGTAAATGTTTTTGGCTTTTGTGCAGACTTTCTATTCATATTACTGAGAGCCTAACTAAAAAGCAAGAAGCAGTGCAGTAAAAAATAAGTAAATGAGGTCATTAGGGAAAAAGTCTTGACTATAAGAAAGCGAGGTGTGGTCCTGCGAGGAGCTGCTCTTTGCACTGACTGTTACTGGGAGTTGTTTATTTAAGAGAGAAGGCGTTGTTCTTGCTACAGATAACCTGAGCACATAGTCTTCCTCTGTGTCTGCCTGACTACAGCCCTCCCCCTCTAGTGAAAGACTTGCATCTTGATTACAGAAAGGCAGTTCGCTTAGAATCAGTGCCAGAAGAAAGGGTGAAAGCAGGAAAAAAAATGTACCAGTGACACAAACTGTTTCTGTTTGTATTCGAAAAGCACAAAGATGAGAAGAAAAATAATTGGCTGAGAGAAACAAGTAAAAATGGTATTTTCTTGTTTTACCTCCTATATTTAGAACAAAATAGTGTTAATTAGGATATAATTATAAGGTCCATCTATTAATTCAAACAATAGAAGCCAATAGAGAAGTAACAAACAGTGACTCATTTATTTTTTCTCGAAGTGGGATTGTTCCCGTTCGCAATTACTCTTACACAGTGCGCTTCATTTGTAAAACCGCCTTTTCTGAGTGTCCTTACTAGGATTTCAGTTACTGATAATGGTCCAGATTCTTCCTTGAATTCTAGCCAGACAAGCCATCGACTTCAGGGAGGTTGCATGAACCTCTGAGGAGCATTTGGCAGAATGCTTAGTAGCCAAATTCCAGTGGTTAAATAAGTCTGCTTGTTCATTTGATATGTTTATAAATGAAACACATAGGTCAAATTTTCAAAGGTCTGTGAAGCCATTGAGCTCAGTTAAATGACCTGCTCACCTGGAAAAAAAAAACAACACAGCCACCCATGCATATCGTTTTGTTGTATGCCGCTGGCCAGTGTGTGCATGCAAATACCTTTGTTTAAGATATGCAAGCAATTTGTTAGGCTTATGTTCAACTTTTGCAGCGTTTGTCTTTTGAATGACAATTAGCAACAGGAAACACTTTTCATTCTAATGTTCGGTATCATGAATTTGAATAAACAGAGTGGTTTGGAGCTCTTTTCTGATTTTCTAGGTATTTGGGTACACAGAGTTCTGCGCACAACAGCTTGCATTGCTGTTGCTTAGATATCTAGTTTTCCTTCAGCAGTGGTGTCTAGGCAGAGTAGCATCATTCATCACCATGCAGAGTCTGTTTTAAGTTTTCTGTTTCTGTTTCAAATATAAATCATTAAAATAGCACAGTCTTGCATGCATCAGGCAGTTGTCCCACTGAAATAGCCTGCAATGGTCTTTCTCAGCATGCAGGGTCTTTGAAGATCAAATAAGAAAGGTCAATCCTTAAGTAACTTCAGCAATGATGTTCTTGTGAAAGGGTCAGAATTGGTCTAGTAGTCTCACAGAAGAATGACTTGAGTCATCGGCTACTGTGTAACAGGTTAGTTCTCTGATTTCCATTGGTGGTGTTTACAACTCTACATTTATAGGCATTGTGACTTGAATGTCACTGTCTTTGTGCAGTGTCCTCTGTTTTGGGAAGGATGGTGATTGACATTTCATAGTTTTATATAATATAACCAATGCAGAAGTTGGTTTGCATGATTACTTATTCCATCTCCTTTTCCATTTGTTACTTTTTAAAAAAGAGCCTGTATCTCCTATTTCATGTGTCATGTACACATCATACACATTTAAAGACTTCAAAATATTTGGATAGGTGAGAAGCAGCATGCACATTTCCTAAGGAAATGTTGAATTGAGTAAAACCAGCTTCATTCACTTGATAGTCTCCTTGTATGATCTACTGTAAACATGCCTGAAAATGACAGTCATTCCTGTTATTAGAACACCGGGCAGATTGAAGGAGGTGTTTTCTAGGAGCATTTAATGTGTGTGCACTAGTATCTGGAAGAGAAGAGTGAGACACAAGTGTTTGAATCTGGCAGTTTAACACTATCCATTTCTGCGATAGTCTTGGGAAGAGTGTTCTGTGCGAGCGAATCCTCAGGCAAACTATGGTTTCCGTGATTTTACAGTGAATTAATTTTTTTTTTCTTAAAACATGCAAGATTTACAAAACATTTTAAATGCTATTTTTGTTTCTATTTTGTAAAACTTATCTTCACAGATAAGCTTTTGGGTGTCTTGTGGTGCACTATATCAAATATGAAGACTGTTTCGAGGAAAATAAATCTGAGGTTTACTGTAGCCCTTGCTAACAGTGCAGTCAGGATTTGTACAAATTATTCTTCAGTATAATTGCTGAAATTTCTTTTTCGTGAATTCTAAGGGTATATAGCAGTCTGCTTTATAAATATGTATAAATAAATATATATGTCTTATATCACAGAGGCACTCAGAGGTTTTTAATTATGTCACTTTGTATGGCTATAGACATTTCAAAGCTCTCCTTTGTGCTCTTTGTTATAAACATTTTTTTTTTTCTTTTGAAGTCAGTGTGATATACATACTGGCAATTAAAAACTCAGCTCAGGCTTTGAGACGCAAGGTCTTCTTAATTAAAACTCAAACAAAAGCTACAAGCAAAAGACCCACTGCACGATTAAGGTCTAAAGTGT